CCTCATCTCCATAATTCCCTTTCCCCTTGTGCGCAAGCAGAGAGCACTGGAAGTTATCAGATGACAAGTATTGTTTTTACCGATTGAACAGATATAACAAAATACTTTTAATGGTACATTTAGCAGATCAAAAGGGAGCAAGTAAGATAAGTTTATTGTTAGTTTACATACAGCGTAAGTGATTTTTCTGTCAGCACATTTTATAAAGGTGCAGCTTCCTGCAGAAACCTAAAAAGACTTGCCAGGCCAGTGGTGGCAAGGATGAGGAAGGGTTAGAACCACTGGCAGGAAGTGAGGGAAATCCTCCCCAACTGCGTCAACGGCAGTACAGAAATTCAAACCCTTCTCCACTCTTGAAACAATAATATGTAAATATATTTATTGTGAATAAAGTAGCCTAAACTGGCTCCGGATGTAAAATGTGAAGCTAGGGAACATCTAGAAATGTTCATGGTTTCTAAGCAGTACCTTGTACCTATTCTTGAGCTCCTTCTGCAAAAAAGCTGTGCAATTCCTGATGCGACTGTGCCTGGGTATTCCTATTCTGTTGTTTAGGAGTTGTATATCTGCATTGTGAGATCATCTAAGGCACTGTTGCCTCTGACTGCTAGTCTTATGAAAATGGAGTAAGATTTGGTGATGTCACAACTATGCTGCTCACTGTTCTTGCTGGAAAGGAAGCTGTACCTGAGGACCTGCAAACTAGCATCTCCTTGATTCAAGCGCCCCCCTCCCCAGAACACTGAATAGAGTTTTCAAGTCAAAGATGAACTTGCTCCCCCTCTACTCCCCCACCCCCTTTAACAACACACTGGAGGAAAGATATTTTTTAAAAACCCATCTAAATTCTTCTTTTACTCGCCTAAAACCTTCACATTTTGTCATCACTGTGGTGTAAATCCTTCATAAGTTTGACCCCATTAGCTATTAGAAATTGAACAAATGCTCAGAGAGTTTTTTTTTTTTTTGCATGAAATTCTAACTGTATACACCCAGCTTTAGTGCACTTTTCTTCAAAGTGTTCTTGTCCTTTAACACCACCATACTGAATAAGCCATTCAAGGGGTGGACACGCTTTGCTAGTGTTAGAATGAAAGAACTTGTCGGACTCGTTTTTTTTATACGTTACGAGCATCTGTTTACAGTCTATTACAATGGTTGTCGTGATCATTTTTTAAATAATGAAACTCCACACAATTTGTTTTCCTTTTTGGTTTGGCTTCTATACATGTGTGAGCTGTTTTCCTATTCTTCATCTAATCTTATAGAGAATTCGGTAAGGAACCAGTGACAGTCACCAAACGGACGTGAACACTTCAAACAGATGTAAAATACATTTTAAAGAGGGGAAATGGGAAGCTCGGCTCTCAACTTTGTCCTGGGTGTCATCGGGACAAGAATGTAACATGAAACATGGATAGAGAAAGCAATAAAACATGAAAGAAGCTAACCCCCCCACACACTAAAAAGTGAACTAGAATAAAAAGAGTTTGCATAAAGTTTAATGCAGTGACTTGTAAAGTCAGCTTGTTATGAGTGTTGACATCTTCTGATTTGTCATATAGACTATATTTTTACTAGGGCCGTGACCTATGTAAACATTAATAGTAAAAACTGCTTGTGATGTGGTGGACCAACTCCAAGACGTATAGATGCATGAGCTTGGCAGCCTTATTGGGATGCAGTAATATTCCTTGTGAACTGGCCTTTGTGTGGTTTCATCTAGATCAGTATCCCCGCTCCTTCACAGCAGCACTGGATAGAATGGTGGGCGCATACTAGAGATGCACTGATACCGATACTAATCTCGGTATCTGTGCCGATACCGAGTATTTGGCAAGTACTCGCCCAAATGGTCCAATACCTTCACCGATACCAAAACTTCCGGTCAGAGGAAGATTTCCTCTGAGCGGCAGTGCTGTAGGGGAACATAGAGCCGGCTTCCCGGGCAATCAGGAAGCCGGGCGGCGAGTAATGACCCATCTCTCAGCTTCCGGATTGGCCAAACAGCCTCCTTGATGCTGATTTCCCGGCCATATCACAATCAAGCCTGCCAAACAACATGAAGCCGGCTTCCTGGGCAATCAGGAAGCCAGGCATCAAGTCATTGCCCGGCTTCTTGATTGCCAGCGGAAGCCCCGGTGTCGGTACATGCTATCGGCGAGTACCGAAAGCAAAATATCGGTACTCATGCTCAATAGCGAAAAAACGGTATCGGTGCATCCCTAGTGCATACCATCCAAGCCCGTTTTGCTCCAACATCCATAATCACTCACAGACAAAGTCTGCAAACGTCGCTGAAGAATTTATTGTAGCACACAGGTACCCATTGTGCCCCCATGGAACATGTTTCACCCAAAAATGGCCTTAATCATAGAGACTATAGTATGTACACTGTTACAACCTTCACAGCCACAGCCCACCAATTTACATCCTGTGGGCAAAGTCATCCTTCCTGTGTGTGCCAGGTAGACTTGTGTAAGATTCTCGCCCAAGCATCTCCAGCCACTGGAGGTGGTGTCATAGAAGTCTATGAGGACCCAGCTCATAGGCACAGCCAATGGAAATAGATTTGGCCCACAAGACCTAAACAGTGCGGCTGGTCTAGGCTGAGATACTCAAGTAGCTATGCACGTGGGGGGGTTACTTTAGGTCAATGGGCGTAGGTTGGCAAGATCAATGTTTTCTCAAAGTATTTTTACCCTTTAAAACTGACTTGTTGCACGTGAAAGAAAAATAAATCTAAAGGTAGAATCGCTGCAAATGTCCCCTTCCAAAGCGCTTGTCGTCTTAATTATCATCTCTATCATCATATTTACAGAGAGACTTTGGCATGATGTTGTTGTCTTCATGTTTATAGCCTCCTTTTATTTTTTACCACGTCTAAAATCAGTACTGGGCAAAGTTGTTGTTTTTTGGGTATCATACTGGAAATGTAACTTGCTCTCAAATCCATCATGCACATAAGGTGGCTCTCAAATAAGCTGTTCCCAGAGTCCTTTTCTGTTGGCTGTATGACAGCAATCCTAACCAAACCTCTCCCTGAATCAGCAGATTGTGTTTCAGAGCAAAACAGACATGGACACTATTCGGCATAATGCAGCCCTTGTATGCTTCGTGTTTACTATGAAAATGTCAGTGTGGTTGGCATGTTTTCATTTTTCTGAATTGGTGATCTTTGAAGCTCTGATTAGTGTCAGAGGAGGTGGTGAGTGCTTACAGCATGTATGTATCATAGTTAGCATCTGTCCTGAGGTCTAGTTTGGGGGAATTTATATCCCTTGAAAACTATATAGATAATACTGAGCAGACTCCACATAACTCTGCATTTTAGTTTAGACTCTTACTGTCTAGACATGGCTGGTTTTGTATTCAGAATATTCAGTTAAAATCAGGAATTACATTTTTTTAAGGGCCGGCTCACACCAACAGTGCTTTCCAGAGCGGCCAGCTTCTGGAACGCACTGTATCGCATTCCTTCCTGCGTTCAGGGGGGCTGGCTTTTAAAAAACCAGTGCCACCTGCAAAAATGCTGCAAGCACTATTTTTGCAAATCGCACTAGACCGAAACACAGGCACTGATGTGCCACGCATTCTGGTGTGGGCGATCGCGCTGCGGGCAGGGGGCATGGCTGTGGTGCCATTGACTTCAACACACAGCCACGCCCCTGAACGAAGGAAGACGGAATGCAATTATTTATATAGCGCAGACAATTTACACAGCACTTTACATAGTTGCACATTCACATCAGTCCCTGCCCTCAAGGAGTTTACAATCTAAGGTCCCTATCTCACATGCATACATAGAGGGCCAACTTAGAGAGGAGCCAACTGGAGTGTGAGACAGAGCCTTCTAGAGACTTACCACTGGTGTGAACCAGCCCTGAGTCTTCCTCTGAGTTTAGTATATAACAGAGGTAGAGAAGTTAATATAAAATCTAGAAGCCAGCAGTTTAGTTTTTTTAGGAGCCTGCTCAATTGACGACAACCATTGGAAACCTCAGACGTTAGATGACAGCTGCGATGTGGCTGTGATGCCCACGCCTACCGCTGGAATGATCCATACAGCAAAATTGATAGCCACACAATCTGAAATAATCATACCGCTTGCAAATGGCAAGCGCTCATTGATCAGCAGGGTCATATGACTGCTGACCAATAAGAAACCCTTCATACTTCCGAGACATGGTCACGGGCTCTGAAAAAGTCCCTCATTGAGCAGTGCAGTCATATGAACGTGCTGACTAATGAGCTTACTATGAGGTGATTTTCACTCAACCTCATAGTTCGAGCCAACGTGAGACAAAACTGTCACACGCCGGCTCAATAGATCTGGAAGTGAGTGAACACATACGCTGACTGGGGGAACGGACAGGGAAGGGTAGGGTACAGCTGGCTCTTCCTCTAGATAGGCAGAGCCAGCTGTCAATCACGCAGCTGGGTGGATCTCCACAGTACTGTCGGGATCTGTCCGGCTGCGGCGGTCTCAGTATACCGTGAGTTGTTGCTTGCGATATACTGAGCTTTGGGTCACAGGAGGACGCTAGTATATGTCCTCCCGGGACCCTTAGGAGAACTATAGGGAAAAACACTTACCCCATAATTCTCTTTTAAGCATTATGATTATTCCAGACTGCAGGGCTATCAGTTCTAGTGTATGGATCACTACACTGGCTGGCTGGGACCTGGGGAGGTGGGCCTGCTGTGAGTAACTACATTTGTTCACATTTTGTGGAAAGGTGAACTCACACTTTAACTATGCACATTTTTTCATGACGTCTGAAGACTTGCCACTTATAAAGGACTGTCAAGTTTTTAGAAGCCAACTTTGCTCCTTGTTTCATTAGCACTATGTAGATTTGTTGTATCACTACAAAATATTGAGTGGTGTGAGACGAGCATTTTCTTGCTGTCCATATGTGTTTTATAGCTGTATGTGTCTGTTACCAGTGTGAATATGCTGCGTATTCTAAAATGGTTTCTTCTTCTTCATACCACAGAACTGAATGATATCATGTGAACAAAGCAAATACTACCCAAGGAACACAAGAGACTGCAAAGATGTCTACAAAAGCTCCCATCTACCTGAAAAGAGGAAGCCGTAAAGGAAAACTCAGAGATGTGCTTTCTCCAGACATGATCAGTCCCCCTCTTGGAGACTTCAGACACACTATTCATATTGGCAGTGGGGAAGGAGATGTTTTTGGGGATGTTTCCTTCCTGCAAGGTAAATTCCATCTCCTTCCTCAATCTCATCCAGGATCCTCCACCTCTTCTTCACCCGATGCAACTCCTCCTCTCTCCCATTCAGAGGTGCCATCACCTATCCTGAAGAACGCCATCTCACTCCCTGCTATCGGTGAGCCACAAGCACTTTCCCTTCTGCAGGCTCCCCCACCGAAGCCACCACGCCTTCATCTTGAAGAGAAGAGTAGGAGCCCAGTTACAGAAATGGCTCCATGTGGAGGATTTACAGCAGAGGAAATGGAAGAAAGGTTTCTTGTTCATGCTGGCTCTCTTCTTTCCCTACACGTGGATTTGGGGCCTTCCATCATGGATGATGTGCTGCAAATAATGAACAAAGAGTAAACACTGACGGCCACCTTGGGCTCCAACTAAAATTCTAAAACTATTTTTTTATAAGTATTTTAGTTTACACACTACAGAATGTCTTAGTTTTCTAAGTGGACACAAACAAGCCCATGCTGCATAATAAGTATTTATACAGCGTTTTGAATTTATACTGTATATACTGATGCTGAGCATCTACATGCTGTATAGTTTTGGGACCTTTACTGGAAGTAAACAGCATTTCATAATGAATATTTACGTTATACCTATAGAATGGTACACCCTATTCTGAGCTAGCCAAAGCATCTCCAGATCTTTTGTAATAAGCAGGGTCATTCTTTAGTGCCTTCTTGCCAGGAAATGTCACTTTATTTTTAGGTTTGTTTTTTTTATTTTCTTGTATTCTTTTTATGATCAAAAGCTGTAAATTGTTTATTGGACCAAATACAGAACAATATTTAACGTTGGCTGTCCTTTTTTTGTGCTGTGACATGCATGCGGGGGGGGGCGGCATGTGTGAAAACGTAAAAGAAAAACAACATTCAGATGTTTCATTCATTTCCAGAGTATCCAGGCTTTCAGAAATATTGAAAATGGGTATAAAAACAAACAAAGATGACAATCGTTAAGGAAGAACTCTGGGTCATTAATTTTAAAATTAACCCTTGCAGTGGGGCTACCTCCACACTGCAAGCGTTCACTGTTTGTTTGGGTCTAGAGCTGTTATACTCGCCTGATCCTTGGAGTTGGCCGGCTGTGACAGCAGTCCCTGCAGCTTGTCTCCTCTGAGTCAGCAATGCAGTGGGGGGGAATTGATCAAAGCAATTGCGACAGTTTTAGCCTCTTAGATAATTTTTTGTATGTGCAAATCTGTCTTTTAACATGTGCCCCTGTTTTGACCAGAACTTGCACTACTTTTTTAGTTGCACGTGTTTTGCGCCTGTTTTCATCTGCACTTGTTCTGGGCTGTATGAAACTGGAGCATCACCTAACAAAACAATCGCAACTTAAGAAGTCCCCATGACCAATTCTTCAAGAAGAGACAGTTAAGCTTTTTGCCTGGAGTTACGAGTCTTCTTTCCTGGAGTCTAATAAACCTCATTTATCAACAACATGACACCAGCATCATAAATCTGGTGCAAATATATTCCGTGCAAGTTCAAACACTCGCAATTGCTATGATAAATTCCCCCCAGTGTCCCTTGGTGTCCTCATGTCCAATGTATTGTGTGAAACGTGATGACTCTGGACCTTGGACTGCTGCAGAAGAGGGGAAGAGAGGCTGCAAAGATCGGCCTAAAGGTGGCCATACACTGTACAACCATCGCAAGACCTTAGTCTTGCGATGGTTGTAAAGTACTTAAAAAAACGTACGATCTGCCCATCTTGGACGGGCAGATCGTACTCTCGATCATCGCAAGCCCACCCCCCTGAGGGGCGGGCTTATGATGACTGTAATGAGGGGCGGGCTTACGATGACTGCAAACGGGCAGTGTGCGTGTGCGCACACCGGCCCGTTCGGCAGTTGTCGAACCAGCAGGCCACTAACTTGCTGAGAATCGTACGATTCCCGGCGGGTTTTCAAACATGCTGGTTCGATGGAAGACGTGCGACCGTACAGTAGAAACCGTCGCACGCCTTCCATACACTGCACGATTCTCGTACGATCGCGGGATTTCCCGCGATTCTCGTACGAGAATCGTGCAGTGTATGGGCACTTTAAGAGCAAGCTAGCTCAGAGTATCGGGTGAGTATAACTTTTTTTATTTTCAGTCCTAGACCAAAAGGAACACTTAACCCTTGAGTGTGGGGGTTGTGCCACTGCAAGGGTTGAGAAAAAATGTACCCTTTAAAAAAAATCAAATTTATGTGAAAATGTCGCCTATTTCCTGTTTTGGTAAAAGTTAGGGTTGATTGTGCTCCATGTTTAGTAACTCTAACAGTGGAGCTCCAGTTCCATTGGGGCCTAAACCCCCCCGGTTCCCAACACGCGGTCTGCAGTGACCCTGAATTTGAAGTGGAAGAGATAAAAACAAATCACAGGGAGGTTGGGATTTTCTTCCTCTTTACCCTAGCACATTTTGTTTTGTTTGTTTACACTGTAATGCGCATCTCCAAAATGCTGTGAATGGGCCGGGTGCCATGGAGGAAGTAAGTCCCGTGCGCATGTGCAGGACTTACATCATCAGTGGCCACCCAATGGCCATAGAGGACTTCAGAGAACCCAGAAGTGTCAGCAGCGGAGATGGTCACAGCACTGGAGAGTGCAAGTACGCTGAAACAAAGAAAACAAATTCAAAGTGGTTTTCTTCCGTTTTAATGGAGACATAAAGGCACCAGCATCACATTAAGTCTTTAGAACAAGGATTGTGAAATAAATAAAAAGGCTTTATTCTTATACTCCGGGATGTTTTCATACTTTTAAACTAGTATTGAGGTCTGGGCGTTTTTTACTTTAATGCATTCTGTACATTAAGGTAAAAACAGCCCAGTACCTTTTTTAGGCGTGGCCTGCCGCAGTGCTGTGTGTATGTCTATGGACACACACATCTACTGCAGGCACAGCCAGGAACGAGCTTGTTAAGGTGCCTCCACAGGAGCTGCTTAGCTGCTGGTGACAGCCGTGCAGGGGGGAAGAGCGCTGCGGGGACCCACTAGAAAACGACGAATTAAAACTTTAATAGAAAAACTAAAGCAATTTTATAAAAAGGTGGCCCTTGTAGCAAATGTTGCAAAAACCTGAAGCTTTAATATCACTTTAAAAACACTGCATGTGCCAGCTTCTTTGGAGTATCAGCTTTTGCTGTTTGTGCTTCCAGGTCATCTTCCACATGTCACATGCAGCTGAGCTCCAGGCTGTAGGAAGGACTGGCAGAGTAACTAGAGAAGTGGGCATTTTTTATTTTATTATTTTTTACTTTTTTCAAAAAAAAAAAACTATTGTTATCACATAGGGGATAACAATCCCCTGTGTAATAGCATTCAGAGGTGACAGGTTCTCTTTATGAGCCTGCCGTCCAATACATAAAATCCAGCATGTGTGCTGCTTCTTCTGTACAGCTCCACTTATGACAGCTGACACAGGAGCGCTGCAAGTACAGCGGTTCTGTGTCACTGATCACAGAGCGTAGAATGAACGCTCTCCGCTCTGCTCCCCACTCTCCATCCTGAAGGCACTTGCCGTAGTCTGGGCTTCCCCCAGAAGAGCAGGGGACCCTGAAAACCAAGGCGCAGAGGGAGGCAGCTGGCAGACCATGGAGGGGGACAATCAGACTGATAACAAGTGATCTGAGCGCCAGACTTGTACAAAACCGCTCCCCCGCTCTACATTTAGCTCTGTGATAGGAATTCTGCACCACTGCAATTGCATCCTCACCCTGCACATAGATTTCTCTTCCATTCATTGAAGGACATAGTGGAGATCTTTAGATCCATTGAGTTATAGCACCACCTGCAGGTTACTAGGCATAAAAACAAAAGCACAGCCTTAAGGTGGCCATTGCTGGTGAACAAATCCACATCTGCTAGAGGCCTAGTGTCGAGGAGTAAGGACCTAAGCTCCCTGCTGGGAATTGCAGTCTAACCCGCACATAGCTAAGGTTCTGCATGTGCTTGTAGGCCGAGCTGAAGGGACTACAAAGATCTAAATTATCCAGCTTGTCACCCAGCTCAGCAGTTGATTGAAGGAACTAACCCTATTCTCTTTTGCAGGGAATTTATTTTTTTCTTGACTGATCAAGACCTTCAATCAACTGCTGAGTTGGCTGACAGACTGGATAATTTAGATCCTTGTAGTCCCCCCAGCTCCGCCTACAAGTGCATGCAGAGCTTTAGCTACATGCAGGTTAGACTGCGACAGCCCAATGCTGATTCCTAGAGCAGCATGTGAGAAATCTCATAGGGGGGCACATATGACCAAGTGACCTGTTGCTCTGTCACAGTTCCTCAACATCCAAACTACGGCCAGAGGCAGCCTGTCATGGGGACAGTACCCTCCTTTTGTCCTTGGGATGAGGTAAGTATAAACCCTATCCTCCATGGGTGGCCTATAGTGGTTTTTGGGTACGCCATTCCCCTGTGCTCCCCTGATTTGTGTGTCAGAGAGCTGATTGATGCTGTACTCTCAGCAGTAACACATATGACCGGGAGTTTTGACCAGAAGGTTACTCTGTCCCCAGACAGTTTTGATCGGAGGTGGCCGCCAACCCTGGATTATCCTGATGGCAAATAGGGTTCCCCCTTCTTGAGATATGGGGGGTCACTTATGTTAGTCTTTTGTGGGGATTCTGCAGATGGCAGTGGGCTTGTTATTGCCTACAGTGAGTGACTTGTTTAAGGTGCCCATACACTGCTCGATTCTCGTACGAGAATCGCGGGAAATCCCGCGATCGTACGAGAATCGAGCAGTGTGAACAGAGACGTGCGACCGTTTCTACTGTACGGTCGCACGTCTTCCGTCGAACCAGCATGTTCGAAAACCAGCCGGGAATCGTACGATTCTCGGCTGGTTAGAACGGTGCTCGGAAGACAAATGCTGAACGGGCCGGTGTGCGCACGCGCACACTGCCCGTTCAGCATTGCGGTCATCGGAAGCCCGCCCCTCAGGGGGGCGGGCTTGCGATGATCGAGAGTGCGATCTGCCTGTCCAAGATAGGCAGATCGTACGTTTTTTTAATCCCTTTACAACCATCGCAAGACTAAAGTCTTGCGATGGTTGTAGAGTGTATGGGCACCTTTAGTTTTCTTCCACCCCTGGGTAGACACTGCTTTGGGACAACCCAGTGTTTAAGATCTAGAGATCTCCACTGTGTCCTGCAATGAAAGGAAGAGAAAATAGCATTTTTTGTACTCGCTGTAAAAAAATCCCTTTCTCTGTGTTCACTAAAGGACTCAGCACCCACCCATAGTTGTTATGTCTGTGACCGGTTAGTGCTGTAATACTGCTTTTTTTTTACTAACTGAGCTGCCTCTAGCAGATGGGGGATTGGCCACTCTAATGCTGGGCACACACCTTACAACCATCGCAAGACTTTTGTCTTGCGATGGTTGCAAGGTAATTAAAAAAAAACTTACGATCTGCCTTTCTTGGACAGGCAGATCGTACTTTCGATGATCGCAAGCCCGCCCGCTGACCACAATGCTGAACGGGCAGTGTGCCCTTGCGCACACCAGCCCGTGCGGCATTTATCTTACGAACATGCCACACACCCGTTGTTTGATAGTTGTACGATTCTCGGCGGGTTTTCGAACATGTTCCTAAGATAAAAGTCATGCGACCTTACAGTAGCAGAGGTTGCACGCCTTCCACACACCTTACGATTGCGGGATTTCCAGCGATTATCGCAAGGTGTGTGGGCACCTTTAGACTGTGCTTTTGTTTTATGCCTAGTGTCCTACTCCTGAAGGTATATCTGTCACAAATAAGTCAAGGCAACTGGACTTGCTGTATTTTTC